ATATCTCATTATCCAAACAAGGATCTATTTTTAAGTTTAGAGCAACTAATCTCTCAGTCACTGCTTCAGGCTTTCTGCAAATTCAGGCTGACACCACTGCATACACAAAATATGCCTGACCTTTTAAAGATTTCTGTGAAACCTTAGTAAGTAGGGGCTACCTGAAAAAAAACCACAAACAAATCTGAAAATCAGTAGAATAACTCTTCCCTTCTATTGCTTTTGCTTACTTTCCATCCTTTAGGAAACAAATTATTTTGGAAGTCATGAAAAGAAACTATTCATCACTGAAATGTCATGTCATCACTTTTTCAAAAGCCTTCCATAGAAAGACAGAGATTTAAGACAGCAAAGTCTTTGCTAATCCAATTAGCATTTAAATATTTTAATCAATAAAAGATGACAATTGGACTGGGCTAGATGCCAACTCCCTGAGAGCCATGCCTTTTGTCACACATAATCTCAGTTGAGCTGATGTGTTACTGAACAGTAGCAAACATACCAGAACGGTAAATGTCCACAACACAATCTGGGAGCTGTATAAATTTAAAATCCTTACGTTCTATGGCACCAAAATGAATAACAGAAAATTAACAGCAAAAGGAGTGATTTCCTGAAGACTGGACTGATAATGATATATTTAAGATGCCTGTGATGAGACCCATTAGCCAGAAGAAAATGACAACTGTGAGTTCTGTGTGTTTGCATGTGACCCAAAACAGTTAACAATACAGATATCTAATCATCATAACCATGATAAGGCAGAAGAAATCTCAACATTTGTTTTCCCAATACCACTTGGCAGATGAGCATATAGTAAGTGCATTTGCTGGAAGTGCTTAGGCTTAATGAATCCCTAAAATTGCTAAGTTCAGTCTGCATCTTTCAGTGTAAAGAGAGAAACAGAAAGGAAGGAAAAGTAGTTTCTAGAGGTTTTCTACTAGAAAGTCAATCTGGAAATGTCTGCTTAATTAAGTAGTTATTTGACCATCAGTTCAGTGGTGCCTGAAAAATCTACTTGCTATTTATCGCAAATGAATGGCAGCAAGGCAAAAAAATGTCAGAAGTGTCTTCGTGAATGATGTAAAAAAGTAATCTTTACCACCAATACCCACATGGAAAATACTCCACTCAGCTCTTTCTTCGGTTCCTTGGCAAGATTTCAGACAAATTCTTCCAGGTCCCTTCAACACATCTGTTCCTCTTCCCCTTAAGTGGATGAAGGAAGCACTCCTTGTCAAAGGAGAACTCGTGTTTTCTACAGGCATTAGCCAGACATGACAAATGTGTATACCTCATGCAAGTTCTGTGAACTATGGCCCCCACCCATACAAGTTGATGCAGAATCAGTTTCTGATGAATTTCAGATGATAAATTCTTCCATAAAGCAACAGTCTGGGAAGAAGACAATCAGTTCAAAAAGCAGCTGGACTTCACACGAGACACATTTATAATCCTAACTAAAAGAAACATTTGGTTCTGTTATTTGTCAGGGCTGTCATCATGTCTTATCAGATTGTCCAACCAGTTCTGCCAATTGGGAGAGCAAAAATATTTTTGCTTAATAGCAAACCTCAGCTGTGATGTGGCTAAGTGTTCATTCTCTCACGATATTCAGGGCGAGTTTTCTTGTCACCAGTACTCCGTTTTGCACCCTGCCACAATTTTTTTCTAAACCAGTGATCTGGTAGGATGCTATAAGCAAAGAGATACCTGCATGATCCCATGCTGAACCAGTGCTCGCTGAGCAGACCATTCTATTGAGCAACCAGTAAGTCAGTGACTGGGCAGCAACATCCCAAAACCGACTCTTGGATTCTCCAACATCCAAAGCAAATGACAGAAAACAGTTCATCTTTAGGCTGTATATACTTACAGGAGATCAGAAAGCCCAGTTTCAATTCAGGGAATACAGTGACTTGTCTGAGGAGTTTTTTAAAGACTTTATTAGCCACAGAATCTTATTTGCAAGTGTAGTGGCCCTATCGCAAACCAGGTTTCGCCATACCAAACAAAGAGCCACAGCTCCTGCTCTTAGCTTACTGTCTTTCAATGAATAATGAATCTCTCATGCTGGAGATTCTTTCTGCAGCTGGGAAACTTACAGCTTTGTATTAAGAAAATATAGCAACATGGTTCATTGTTTGTGCAGCTGCTTAATTCAATCTATTGCTTTTTAATTTTTGCACATACCTCTTATGTCCACTGACAATACAAAGGCACCATTCATTCTTGCCCAGAATTTATGACAGTAAGATTGCCAGAGGGTCCTGGCTTAAGTGTCTCTGGGTAGAGTGATGCCCAGTTAGTACAGAACTGGAATATTTGTGTAATCTGAGGCACTGTGAAGAGATGGGCTGATAATAGCAGTGATACCAGAACAAGCATGTAGGTGCAACAGACAATCTGAAACCTCTACATCTCTTATTTTGCTAAATAAGATATTTTGGTGCAAGTCTGGGCCATTCTCAAGAGAAACTAAATGCAAAGTGCTCAGTGACATCCCTATGTCTAAGACAAAGTCTTTCTTGCTATCCTTCTGATAATGAAGGAACACAATAAACACAAGAGGGGAAAAAACCCGCCACATTTCCACAGGTAAACAATTAAAATAGTCCTAATGCCTTGGAACAGTATTGTCAAATTACTGTCCTGGATGGTTCTTTCTCCAGCTTCTGCAGCAGAAAGAACAGGATTAAAAAAAACAAAACCCAAAACCCACAAAAAAACCATTACAGTAACAAATGGTAAGGATGGGGAAGAACATGAGAACACTCTGATACAACAAGGACCCTCCAACAGTCCCTGTTCAATTTTCATCTGACTGGCTGCTACAAGCACAGTAACATTTTTATATCTAATCTGTTCTTTTCTCTCAATAATCTGCATCAAAACATTGCTTATACTTAGCTCAGTAATAGCTCTAGCCATTGAACACACAGAAACAGCAAGGACAGTATAGGAATTCAGCAGTACTGAGGAAAATTCTAATCCTACTAAATTTGGCAGCACAAATCTCTTACATAACCTGTGATTTAGAGGACAGCCTGATCATCTGGGAACATTAATGTTCTTCTCAGTACATTAAACAAAAATGGCAACTTTCCATTACAGATTTTCTTTTGTTTTTCACTGCATGTCTCAGGAAAGGCAGCCCATGCAAACAAGACACTTTTAGTATCAACAAAAATGCTTTTATATGACAATTCAATTATACTGAAGGTGTATATAACTGTAAAGCTAACTTTAAGTGCTTCTTTGCCAAGATTGCCTTGAACTGTGGTGCGTCTCAGAGGTGCAGGAGAGGGCTTGTGATCTAAACTTAAAGCAACGGGTCTCTAAAACAATGTTTGGAAAATGGGCTTTTCTGAAAGTTGACTGTTACATCAGCAAATTTTACAGATCTCGGGAACTGAAGCTCTCACAAAGCTAAGAAGGTTGAGAGCTACAGATGGCAGATCCCAGGCCTGTACAAACCACTAGAACAAACCACTGTTTGTATCAACTATTAAAAAAAACCAAAACAAAACCCGTCCTCCTTTTCCAAGAAAAATACATTCTAACATGCAAAATCAGCTGCCCAGTAATAGGATATAGGTGTATAAAAGCTCTATTCACAAAATAATTATGAAAAAAGGATCATATTATTTAAATCCTTGTCATTCTTAAATAAGTTACAAAATGAGGTAAGAGTTCACTTAGTGCCAATATTTACAGAGTGCAATAAACATTCAATTCATACCATGTATTCCAAGAATTACAAACAGTACTGCTTTTGAAATAGATATTGGCAAGTTTTAGGAAGACAAGACAAGAAATTTTATTCACAGAATAGCAAAAATCAATCAATTTTATAGAACACATCCATAAAGGGTTAAGAGTTCACAAAATATCAGAGAATCTGCCACCTGAAATCACCACACACTCTACTGAAAGCACTTGCTGCAAAACTTGAAGCCAATTATAGACATTTTCTTTTCATCCATACAAAGGATGTGCCATAGAGATGTACACTAACATTAGAATTCCTTGATGTGTTTGGAAACAAGTGGCCACCACCACGTAGAAATAACTTTGCAGGCTGCCAGCAATCACCAGCTAACTAATCCACATACCTCCATTCAATTGTTAAGGTAGGTGAAGCTTTTAGAATGAAAAGCCCACTAACACATAGAAAAAACATTGATTTTTCAGTTGCCTAGTCATGCAGTTGTCTCAGTAAAAGATATGAGAACAAAAGGAAACCTAAAACAGACTATCTATTCATAGGGAAATTCCCATTAATAGTTTTTCATGTTACAGTTGAAAGAAAGTTGCAAAAGCATAAGAGATTGCCAAGAGGAGATTGCTGGGAGGAGGAAACACTTAAATAGGTCTAGTTAAAACCCCACCATGAATTAAGAGTTCAATTATTTTCCCTTAAAATGCATAAACAGTGAACAGTTACTACTCTCCATAACAGAAATTGCTTTCCTATATAGAAATTAACCAAAGGACAAAAAGAAATGCAGAGCCACACTCAGTTTCTCATGGTCAGAGAGGCTCACTTTAAGTCTTATATCAAACGAATGCTGAAAGAAGGCAGCCTGATTTGATCTTTCAAATTTGACATGTATATAAGCAATTACATCATAGAGTTCAACAGCCAGTTTCAAACCAAGTATTTAAAAGCCAGACTAACTTAGGAAATGATGAGACCAAGACCTGGCATTAGAAATTGATGCTTATTATTTTATTGCCTTGGGCAACCCGATGCCATATGTAAAGCTTCCTTAGAGTCTGACAAGTGAATAGCTAACCAGTCTTACTGCCAAAGTAAGAACTGGCAGAGTAACACACTGGATTTCAGTAGTTTAACAATTTGTGATTGAACCAACTCAGCTGTAAGCAGAAACAAAACTCAACAGGACGATTGCATTAAAATCTGAAGAGCAACATTTAGAGGGGAGGATGTAATAGTTTGGGGTGAGAGTAATTATAAATACCTGTAAGCACAGAACTAAATGAAGATACTACTTTAATGAGGTGATACAAGCTCATATTTTGTATATCTATAAAATATTACTATCAGACAAGCAGAAGACTCAAGATACAGTAAAAGAATAAAAGTTAATCTCAAAGATCTGTGTTATGATAGTAACATAGCTTCAACTTATCCACTAGGACCTTCTCATTCACTTTGAACTGTATCAGTTGATTACCTTTAAATATCAGTTAACATTAGTGCTAAAACAACAAAAATCAAATATTATGTACATTTCTAGGTAAACAATCAGGCTGTCTTTACCTCTCATCTCATTCCAAGTAAATGTATTATCTTCCAGAAACTAATATTCACAAATTATTTTAGAGAAAAGTTACTGTACAAAGACACAGAAGTTAAAGTTCATAAAAAGACTAGTGAATACAATTAGACAGAAGTTTGCTTGTAGTTCTTCGTATCCAAGACCTTCTTGCCACACATTGAGCAGATACCTATAAGCACACAAAAGGTGTGTAAATTATTTTAAAATCATTAGTTTCTCTTCAAAAACATAGTTGCTATGTATGTTATCTGTAAAGATAATTTTCAAAAAATTGTTTAAATGAGCTCTCATTGACAATCCATCTGTCCATTTTCTCACCAGATATTGCAAATTCAGAAGTAATAATATGACTCCTAACACAAATTAGTATTTGCAGCACATGTGTAATACTGCCAGTTCAAAAAAATAAACTATATTTTGAGAGCATTATGATTCATAACACTGCCTGAAGCCTCTGTAATTTGCTGGAATGTTGGAAGAGAGCCAGGAAAGGCTCCCATCTGGCAAATAGGTAAAAATGGTGTATTATTAAACTTCCTAAGTCCTGTAGCCAAACTGAGGCCCAAGATGGACAGAAAGTAGCTAGGCTAAGAAAACAGTCACCAACAAACTGACTGCTAAATGGAAGTTTAACAGGTAGGGAGCTTCAGATAATGGATAGAGTTGAGAAGAATACAGTTTCATAGAATTGAGCTATTTATAGAGGAGTAGAAGTGAGAAACAATGGACACCAAGAATACTTGAGAGTTGAAGATGACCACTGATGTCCCAGAGGACTTTGACCTAAACTGAAAGAGTGGAAAGTCAGAAGACTAGAGCAGCAAAAAGTACCCAAGTACGGCAGAGGCAGAGGTGGTGGTTGTCTCAATGTTTCCCTCTTCTAAAGCAGAAAGGTGCTTTTTTATAATTTTACAAGACCATTCATCAGCAGACAAAAAAAAAAGTCAAGCGGCAACTCTTCCTGTTAACTCTCTCCAAATCCTGTGCTTTCACATATTGACAGCATGTGACTGGACACATATTTAAAAGTCCATTAGAAAAGAGAACAGCAGGGAACGTGTCACATGATTTACTTTGGAGAGCAAAATCCAGCCCACAGGCTGTTCACTTCAGGTCTAAATTGACGAGTAATTAGCTTTAGATTGCCTCTCAATTTCAGTGATATGCAACAGTTGGAAGCACTAAGCCATATGACTGCATTTGCTTCAAGAAACATGCCACAACCACCTCTTTGATGGTCAGAACTAGAACCTAAAGCACTTAAAGTTCTGAACTTTGTGAAGAAACCAGATTCAGCCTGGAAGGATACACAAGCAGACAAAGACGAAATCCTGAAGCCCACTCAAATCAGCCATAAGTTTGAGAAAGGGAACAAGGTTCTACCATATGGGATTCAGGCAGCCATCTGGTCAGCATCTAGCAACTAGAAAAGGCAACCCTCTTACAGCAGGCTGCTAAACCACTGACTCAGTGACACAGTGCACATTTATGGAACAATTAAAAGTAATTTCATAAACAAAACTTACTACTGGTTAGCTGTAGCTCTACATCTAGCAATTGGCTCACCCCATGTCTGTGTGCTATGTGGGTTCCTTGGTATTAGTAACGTAACTTGAGTGCATGTTGCTCCCCCCCCCCCCCCCCCTCTCACCGATTTTCTAC